GATCTTATCAGGCTGCTCACAGGCGCTATGCTAATTCTACCGTTCCCTTTAGTTCTGAGCTGTATAGTTTTACTTAGTATCTGCACCACTTCATACTTGATCGTCTGTGTAAAACTTTTATGAACTGCGTAGAGTTAACGGTTGTGAGCTTCATTTACATAGTCTAGATCGACTAAACTTGCTTTACACAGTGGTCATCCTGAACAAGAAAATGGGTGCCATTATCACTGAAAAAAAAAACTGCTTGGGTACTCAAAAAATTGTCAGTTATCCATTGTATAAAAACTGTACTGAGGACCGATTTTGATTATCCGTAATTTACAGTTCCTCGTTTTCAGCACCGGATTTGAGGCGCCAAATTCGAGTGCGGATGGTAAATTGGGTTGGACTAGAAGAAGCTGGTGTCGATGGCGGTGGCATTTTTCGGGAATTTCTCTCCGAACTTCTTCAAACAGCCCTTGATCCTTCTCGTGGATTTTTCGCGGCTACACACGAGCAGCTTCTATATCCGAATCCTTTAGCACCATCCGCTCATCCTGACAGTTTCGCTGATCATTTTTATTTTATTGGACGCCTTGTCGCGAAGGTATTTAATACTTTTTACAGAAACTTCCTCCATATTTCGCTGTGAGTGCGAGGCTCAGACAGTCGGGAAGTAACCCCAGTGACAGCAAATGTCAACAGCCATTGTCAAAGCTGTCAGTGGTCCCCTCTTCTGAAAGTTGCTTTCAAGGAAGCTGACGACTAATTTTACTCCTTGACGTATGCCAGTGCCAATTTACTGTCGAAACGAAGAGGGATTGTTTATCCAACCGGCAGAGTCGAGGCTTTGTCCTACTGACGATAACCTTGATGCCACACTGCGCCATTTCTGTCGGCATATCTAGCCAAAGAAAATTTACTGTAGCCTTGTCACATTTATTAACTATCACTTCTCTCATCGTAGCTCTATTTCCACGTCTCCAGAACCCTTCCGTGGTGCTACACTACTTGGTCGGTAACAAGCTGCTGGTTCTTCTCTTCGTTTGTTTTCATTTTTATAAACAAAATTGCTCAATGTGTTAGTTTGCTGCTCTAGTGCTTGCATCACAGCAGACGTGAGTACAAATTCAAACTGTGTTTCAGCATCTCTGATACCGAGAAAATTCCCAGTTGATTTGACCAATGCGTTTGGTGATCATCTCTTTGCTGATCCATACATTCGTCTCGTCTTTTGAATAGATTACGGCTCACCGGTTCTCCTACGAGAAGCGCTTGCCAAGGCTTAGTGAAAATATCTTTAGTATATGTTAAGGCTTATCCACTTCATTCCGAGAATAGCTACTTCCAGAACCACGAAGTACTTTATTGACAGGAATAATAGGTCCCCCTCGTGGAAAGGTGGCATTTCTTATAACTGATATTTTAATATTTCTTTTTTTTGTTGTAACACTTTATTTCAGTTGATTTACGAAGGATTATTGGTGGATATACGTTTTGCCGATTTCTTCCTCTCGCAGTGGATTGGAAATCCGGACGATACAGTTTTGGATTTGGAATTGGTGAAATCATACGATCCGTTATTGCACAAAAACTTGAAACTGCTAAAACGTTGTGCGCCTCATGAAGTGGAAGCTCTTGATCTCGACTTTAGC